GTTACTGACTGACTGACTCAGCTAATCTCTTTTCTTAATGATTGGAAAGGCTTTTTGCAATATTTTGATATTTTAAAATCAGTATGATGGTCAGTGAAAATGGCATGAGCTGCTATTGTTGATTTAATTTGACGTTTATCCAGTTCTACAGGATTGTTCGAAGGTTTCTTTGTGTACCTAATATGTTCTTTGGCTCTAGTCAAGATTTCACTAGATGACTCTCCAATACAGAAAGCATCACAATTGGTACACCCTAATTTGTAGACGCAGCTCTGTGTAGACATGAAAGGGATATTTTTCTTTTAAGCGAACTAAAGTATTTCAAAGTGTGTTCTTTGTTTTGTAATATATTTTAATTCTGTATTGTTTTAAGATTTTTTGGAATTCTCCTGTTGTGCCATGACGGTATGTTTAAACTTTAGTACCAATCCATGGAATTTCATTCGAATTATTGTTATTACGCACTGGACCGTCTTGTTTTAATATACTTCTGATAATCTTCATAGGAAAATTATTAAATTGTAAGCTACTAATTCTAATCTTTTGTTCCTTTTGTTTGTCCTCTTGTGACGTGATAATCTTGTCAGGTCTTCTAATGAGATATAAAGCTAGCAAGATCTTAGCATTGAAATGATGTGCTGAATAGAAGTCAATATAGGGATTAGAGTGTGTAGGCTTTCGGTAGATGGGTAGATTTGGAATTCCATTCAGATTTCTTTTCACTAAGCAATCTAAAAATGGTAGCTCGCCATGTTCATTTTCATTCTCACTCGTGAATTTGACGAGGTGAAATTGTATTTATCCGTTTTGAAAAAGATCTTAGATGAGTATTTTTTTATCACAACAAATGTATCATCTACATATCTTAGCCGAATTCGGGGTTTATTGTCGTGGGCGAAGATATCTGATTCCATGTGCGCCATAAAAAAATTGGCTGCAATCGGACACGGGTGATCCCATTGCTACACTGAATGTTTATTTGTATAACACTCGTTTAAAATGTGTAGAGTCGAATTTAAGCGAAGTTTTAAGGGTCTCATGACTATACTGATGCTCAAAAGAAATCTGTCAGAAAGAGTATTGTCGTTCTCTAGTAAACCACTAATGAAGTCTAAGCGTTTATCAATAGGAATATTGGTGTATAAAAAAAGACATCAAGGGTTACCATGACCTCATCCTTCTCGATAATTAATTCCGATAGTTTTGAATTAAATTCATATGTATCTTTAAACACTTTATGTGGGTTAAGCTGTGGTGGCTTCAATATCTAATTTTCCACTCACTGGGATATCACAAGTGTACTGTCAAGCGAAATTCCACAATCAACATGTGGCTGTTGTTAATTAGTGATATTCTGGCAGAGTGTTAGTAAAAATGTATTTCTGTTCCACTTGTATTGTACTTATCAATGAGCAGAAACGAATTTTTGTGCATGTTTCTTGACTGGCAAAGTGAAACCTCTCAAGCGAAATTCCACAATCAGCTACGTTGGACGAACTGCATTAGACTGTCATTCCAAAATGCATGTGAAACGTATACCGTCAGAACAGACTAATCTAACCATGTGAAGGGTTCTAGAGTGAAGATTGCTTCCAGATATTGAGAACACGTTCAAAACATATAATTTCAAATTTACTGCCGTTTGACCTATGTTTTCTACGTTATGTTGCCTTGGATGTTTTAGCCAGTCGTTCTAAAATATGCATTTACAGAAACTATCTTACAAACAATTTCGACTGCGGTTAATTTTAGATAGGCCTTTTCACTAACTTACATAACAGGCAATGTTATATTTCTCTATACGGTTATGATCACTAGGGCACAAGACAGACTCTACCTAAAATATTTATTGCTTAAATATTGTTCGATGCTTCGTTCCTCTTCCCATGTATATATGTGCTCAAACCCTGTTATTAGATTTTGCTTTGCAGTGCCATGCGAAGATGATTGATTGAAAAAGCATAGCAACTACATCAACATCTGTTAGTTTGTTCCACTCACATACAAAAGAAACAAAGTGAATAATTCATCATATCGTGTGAAACGTTTGCTGTTTGTTCAAACTTCTGATAGAGAGATATCTACCACCAACAAGTTATATCACCTGCTCTCCTGCTTCTCACATGAGATGATAAACCATAATATTGGAATTATAATGAATATTGGTCACTTAAGTACAGCATTGAATTATACTATCATTATGTGGAGATATGTAAATTACATAACCTTCTTAAGGAAAAATTTGATGAATTTTGTCTTGTTTCCATGATCAACAGACATATCTTTGACTAAACGCTAAAACTGCTCGATTCCAGCTTCAATGATATCATGTCTCATACTGTTAAATATTCATTCCATACAAAATTCTGTATGTGCATTTCTGTGATAGAAACTCGATAGTATGTAGAAAAGATAACACAATCGATCATCATCGATACCACGATTCGAAAACACCAATCCCGCTATCATAACATCATCGGTGTTTTTCAACACTTAACTTCTCGTGATGTGGTGAGACACTGAAAAACATTGATGGTTTCCTATCGTTCTGCATGTATTGTTAATATTGAGAGCGTTCAGAACACTGAAGTGTTTCACAGGAACGCATTATTTCGGCGTACGATGTCACAGAAAAATCCTGTTCAACAAAGATAAAACGGTTTTGAAATCTAGAAACATGCAACATATTTGTAGCCAGGATTATTCAAATATCACTAAAATCTATCAACTGGGTTTAAAGTACAGAATTCTAACAGACGTCTCATCTCATTTTTATTTGTCGTAAAACGCATTTATCACACATGAGTGTGATAGTGAGAAAAATCTAAAACAATCTTGAAAATTAAATTGCAAATACTGAGCAACGGAGTTAACTCATTTCGTACAATGTAAATAGTGGTGAACATGGATTGTGTCTAGAGCATTTAACACTACGTATTATATAGGATGATCCGACTTCAGTTAAAATGTTATGTTATCTGACCAACAATTCTTACATTGTATGAAAAATTGAGAGTTCATAAATACTGAAATTTTTCATCGACAATGAAATTTGTATGTGATATAATATTGTGTGTAGTAATTGATCACGCTGTCAATATGGCTGAATTCCGCATTCTGCCTACTTGAACCTCTAAACGATGTGCCAGGGACTATTGCTAACTGGCTATAAACTGGCGTGTGTGACTCATGTCGTCAGAATGATGCGAACGATTGGAGTGAGTAATGCGTTTGTACTTTTTCGACAGACATCTCCTTGTCATGTATGGTACATTTGAGTTAATCATCCGTATATAAATTTGGGTGTTCACGCTCTTCTGATTACGGGTGTGGATAAATATGAAAGACCTTACAAACAGTGTTACGTACGTCACTCGTATCGCGCTCAAATTTTGACTTTTGTGATGGTCAAGGCGGAAGAATTTTTGAGCTAATTTATTGTGCACATAAAAGTCACGTCAAAAAATGATTTTATATCCCACAAACTGAATATGCCGGAAAGATAACTCCCATTTTAGTTTGGTTAATATAAAAAAGACAGGCATCTTAACAAAAAATCCACAATATTACTAAAACGTGCCATTGATTTATTTTCCAATAGACATTTTTCACACAACTAAAGTCCATAGAACGGAGTAAATCTGGTGTTCGTCCTCACGTTTTTTAAAGAAATCATCAACGCTCTGTAATAATATAAGTATGTTTATGAGATTGTTCGGTCAAATATTTCAAGATGGCTACTCTCCACAAACTTCGTCATCACGGCTTTGTTAATCTACCTTGCAATGTGTTTTATCGCTCAACTCAACTTTATCCACTTTGTCAATAGCACTCATGCATCTCGGCACACGTGTTTAATAACTCGAAACACTACGACAGTCACTCTTTAGGTGGTGGAGAAGATTTGTAGCTTATGTGGATGATTTTGATGGGGTTTTGTTCTCTGAGCTGGATGGTTTGGTCCAGCTCAACTGAATACAATCTCTTCAACTGTGTAGGAGATTTACAATCATTAGGATTGTCTATATTGCGAATGTTTTTCAGGAAGCACATTAAGACCAACTTAAAGAATGAGATGCAAAGATTACTCATTTCATTCACTGCTGCATTGAACGATGCTTACAAGGCCCTAACTGTCATTGTATTCAGTCAACTGCATTCGAGAGTTCGGATGACATTATGCTGTTTACAATTCAAATCAGAGATATGTGGTTGCTTTGGCTGACTGCTTTCTACTACAAACAGTCAGTCTGTAAATCGTTTCCAATCAAACATACTTGTTAGGCTGAAACCTATTGACTCATCCAAAGCTACGATGAAAAGAGAAACAATTTTTCATATTCTGTAAAAGATATCTTATTCTACTTATTACTTTATATGAACTTGCATACAAAATTGAAGAAAAATAACCTCCAAACCACTACTGACCGACATTTTGATATTCTAAAATTACTTTGAGTGCTTTGGTATGGAGATTTGGACTATCTGTTTTGCATTTACAGAACTATTTGCTAGCACGAAAGATCAAATTCTAAATTTTCGTGTTAGTTGTAAGCTAGTCATCGTGAAATCGATTTACCGTAAAGTTAATCTGGTGATACAAATATCACTAAAACGAGTCATTCAAAAAGATGTTAAAATTGACCGTCATAGAATGGAAACAAGTGACTGGCACATCACGCTAATTTGATGGCATTGTGCTCGTACAAACTAAATTAGAGATGTGTGGTTGCTGTGTCTGACTGTTTCTAACTACAGGCTAATTATTTGGTAAAACAATTCTAAATTTACATATCTACTATGTCGTCAAATAACGAATGGTCGAAAACAACAATGATGAGAAAATATTTATATTTTGTAACAGATGTTTTTATTTATTTATTATTTGAAAGAAATCGACAAAATAATTGGAGGAATCTTTTTTTTGCAGTGCACTACTGACTGAAGTGTATTTTACATCGCTTTTTACATTCATTTTAATCCTGAATTTCTCCACTTGCTTAAATTATTGAATGGATTTTGTTGGCATTGTTACCTTTCTTCTTCCCAGCATCATCAGGATCGTTAAGCTTGTCTTCAGTTATCTCAGGTTTTTCGGTAGCGTCATCGTATACGTAGTTAAACACATAGTCCTCATGTGTATTTTGAATTTGAGGATCGTTAATCTTGCCTTCAGTTATCTCAGGTTTTTCGGTAGCGTCATCGTATACGTAGTTAAACACATAGTCCTCATGTGTATTTTGAATTTGAGGATCGTTAATCTTGCCTTCAGTTATCTCAGGTTTTTCGGTAGCGTCATCGTATACGTAGTTAAACACATAGTCCTCATGTGTATTTTGAATTTGAGGATCGTTAATCTTGCCTTCAATTTTCTCAGGTTTTTCGATAGCGTCAAAATATACGTAATTGTACTCATTATCCTCATTTGTATTTTGAGCAAGATGATCGCCAATCTTGTCGTCAATGTTTTTGTTATTATCAACCCCATCAAAAAAGTAACTTATGTCGCCATTATCTTCAATATTATAGGTACTTGAATCAACGAGCTGAATCACTGTAATGTGTACCATAAACATCATGATGAGCATCTTGATATATCTCATTGTCAAACCGATTTTTCTCACGTCAGATGAAGGAATTGGTGACTCTCTTCCTCAACTATAATAAAATATTTAGTCAACTATCGGACCGACTTTTATATACTCATACTGTCCAGATGACACTGATCGACACAGACAATAACACATAAACACAAAATTTTGTGGTTGGTCATCGTTTACTTTTTCATTGAACATAGTATACACCTACGGCCACAGTTCGTTAGCGCATTGGTAGATTGCATGTTATACACCATTCCATAACAGTGAAGAGCACAAATTCAACAGAGCGAAGTTATGATTGGGTATATTTGGCATTTGGCAACAGATCAGCTCAGCTTACTCGATGTGTCTGATCAGGTGATTTTCACTTGCGATAATGAACATTGATGATAAAAGCAGGCAACAGACGAGTAAAATTAGACTATTATACTGGTAAAATTGGTGAGTTTTGTAAAGAATTTTTCGTGGTTGAATGAATGTGAGTTGGAGCAAGACTGATTTTAATATAATGACGCAATGGATTGTTTGCTACACTATAACCGAAATATCTAAAAGCTTAGACAATGGGAATGCAGAAGAGTGTTGTAGTGAGTGAAACACGAACTCCATGATACATTCTGCCAGAAATGTTACAACCTGGAACACTGTTTGTGGTCATTCAATTGATGGCGGATTTTTAGCAATAATTAATATGTGCTGCTTATCACAGTGTGTTCATACCCAAACAAGGCACGACAATATACATAGTCTTGTATTCTGAAGAGATATCAATTCACTATCAATATAAGTATGCAAAGATTCTGAAAGCAGTGACCATAAAATAGTAGTTGGTGCACTCTCTATCTTTCCCTTTTAGAAACATCCCAAACAAAAAGTCGGTCGATATAGGGAGTATAATTTTTCTAATTGTAGCCTTCTAGACTACGTGGTACATATATAATTTAATTTGCACGACATTAGGGTTGGTATAACCCAAATTAAAAAATGAATTTTTGTAGTGGCTTGCCGATTCATTAGTACAATGTTTGTATTTTAGGACGGTCAACTTACTTGCTTGAGTTTCGAAATTATATAAACAGTATTACGAAAGCTGTGACAACGATTTCGGATGATTGAGGACTGCATTATTGACTCCACGAGTTCAGTTTTCACTGTTCTCAATCTACATTCCTTCATCCGTACTTTGTTGTTGTTTGTAGATGCTTTAGTAAAACTTGCTTATTATAATGTGAATTAGTTGACTTTCCATTTGCTCGACTGAGAAGTATACATATGGAGTTGGACTCTTTTGTTTTGATGTACGTATAAATGAGATGATAAGGGAATGAATCAGTAGTGTATTAGCTGAGAGTTGGTGGTTGGTGGTAATGAGATATTTGCAAATAAATATATACCTTCAGATTTGCATAATATAAATTGCGACTCATGCTAATATTAGTACAATCTCGTGTGATAGGAGAGAAGGGGTAGGGACTTATTAAACATGAACTACGTATTTTAATTTGGCTGTTTAATGCGTGCGCTCGAAGAACAAAAACGGTAGATGTACTCTGCATCTTGTAAAATGTCACATTTATAAACTGCTTTAAAAACATTGTGAACCTTTTCAACGAACTTTTTGCAGACAATACTGAACTTCTAACACTACTGTTTTGAATGTCGTGTAAATGATGAGTGTCAAAGTGGAATCTGTTCTTTCACCTATCTGCATCTGTATGTATGAACTACTTCTATATGCAGGTTATCTTCAAATAGGGCATTCATTTTCTCCTAACCAGCTGAACAATACGCAGAATTGCATCATTACAGGGCTGAACTAAGTAGCTCTGTAATGCGCTAAATTGCAGTTGAAGCTTAACACTGCTAAATGTCGATGGATACACTTTTGTGATAATTTACTTAAATTAGATCATAATATAAATTGCAAGGTGTTATCTAAGTTACATACAGTAGAAGACCTAGGTAACATTGCAATCACTCTTTCTCAGAAAAGATCTTAAAATAGGCTTTCATGTCTTAACGTCTTCTAGTTTTCGTATTTCTCAAACCCTAGAACAGCGAGTCACGCATCCTCATGCACAAAACATTTGTCCAACCACATCTGGAATATTGTTTTTTTCATAAATGTTCGCATACAGGATAAACTGAAGTTGGAATCCATCCACAGACGATCTACACTTCAAATTTCCGGGGTTGATTGCACGTAAAATTATATTAACAGATGTAATAAACTCGAACTCTACACTATGTGGAAAGTAATATATAATTTAAATCTTATCCACATTTTAAATTCAAAGTTCTTGATGAACTACTGTATACGTCCAATGAAGCGATTGGATATTTAGAAAATGCTAGTGAAAGTACTCATAATTCCTTGTCATAAGCCACACAATTTTGTTTGAACTATCCACTCTATAATAATATCATTATTATATTTGCGGGAATTGACATACTTTAAAGAAACAGACAGTGAAATTTCGGCATCAATAGTTGAGCCTAATATGAAAATACCTTGAATGCTTGTGCACAGATCATTTTACTTCACTAAACAATAGAGAGTTAAGTGATCACATCATGTCATCAAATCTAAACACAATCTTTGTACTATGAAGGAAAATATATTAGGCATCACGAGTTGCAGACAACGTCCACAAGCAAGCAGTACCAGAGGCACTCAAAATTTAGACGAACATATTCAATTGAGACGCTGTGAAACATACGTTGAGAATGGCGAGAGAATGAGGATATTAGTGTACAGAAATGTGTATTGGTCGTAATAGTGTTGTGCGAATTTCTAGTAGTTTAGCTCATCTCATTAACATCTGCTTCTTTCATTCAAATGAACAATGAAGCAGTGATCTAGTGACGACAACTTTAGGAACCATCTAGTGAAAGGGAAACATTAAAAGATTATTATTCTCAGAATTTTCTCAAGTCACTGGTGATTTATTCTGCTGTTGTAGTGTAGTTGTAGTGCCATTGGCATAAAATAGCATAGTTTTGACAAACTATGTGTTCGATAGTCAAAGAAATCAACCACGTTCCCTCCATCTATTCGAGAACCAGATACTTCTTCATCATTTACTGAGAGACGTTTCACTGTTTGTCGACAGAAAGATGATAAGGGAATGTCTCAGTAACGCTTCTTTGCTTTACACTTGCGCGTGTAATTTACGATAAATACTTCCATTGTTATTCATTCTCAGTTCATTCTCATCAAATCAGTGTGATGTGCCAGTCACTTTATTCCATTCTATGACAGTCAATTTTAACATCTTTTTGAGTGACCCGTTTTAGTGATCATTGTATTGAGCTGGACTAAACCATCCAGCTCAGAGTATAAAACTTCATGAAAAAATAATAATCACACTTTTCTACTTGCGGAACCCGTTGCTTGCGGTGCCCTAACTCTCATTGTATTCAGTCGACTGTATTCGCGAATTCAGATGGCATTGTTCTCGTACAAACTAAATTAAGATGTGTGCTTGTCGTGTCTGACTGTTTCTAACTACAAACTAATTAATCGGTAAATCAATTCTAAATTTACATACATACTATGTCTTCAAATAACAAAGATGAGAGAATAAGATTTATATTTTTTTATAATTTAAGTGAATCGATAAAATAAATGAAGGAGAAATATTTTGCGGTGCACCACTGACTGAACCGCTGATAGCATGAAATTAATTTTCAAATGTTTGTTTTCTAATTTCATCAGACGTTAAATGTTTCTTAGACTCTCATTATTTTCTTTAGTTTTCCTGACCACTAGAATATTCAAGACTGTTTCTAGATTTACCAGCTTGTTTATCTTATTCTACAGTTATTCTTACAGAACTGAATATGCAATACTGACGTTTCATAATGTTTCATGCAACTAGTTCTGTTTATGAATTTAAATAAGGCCAAAACTAATATTTAGGTAGAATAATATGAATTCAATATATTTCGTGGTTTCTCGTCAGCTGCTTACAATCAAGTGTGTTTGGGAATTTTACATGTAGTGTCAGTCATTATTTTAAGCCCATACATCTTATTCTAGTTTTTGGACAAACCATTCTATTCATTCTACTTGAGTCATATTTTGATTTTGTCAATTATTCGCTTATTAGCCTTGACTGTTTTTATATGAGCGTATATGTGTGTACACTTCATGTCCCATGATTCATCACATGTCTGTGGTTTATTTTGTCTGCCTATAAATACTGAGTAACGCTTAATTAAAATGGAGTTGGCTTCCCAGCCATCTTCCATACGTGTCATTTTGCTTTGCTCTGTTTCATTCGCTTCATGTACAAAATATATGTATTCACAAATCAATTCTCGTTATTCGACTTATTTAATTCCGTTATTGACTAACGCGATTCAAGTCGACGATTAAATATGAGAATAGGCGATATCCAACATTTATACGATCTAAACAGGAGTCAGATCCACGGGCCACCAAATACATTGAGATAAGATATAGAGTAGAACAATTGACATAAGTGAATGTAAGGGATTGAAATCACAAAGGTTATCAAAGATAACTATATATATACATGTATGTGTGTAAGAACAGGTCAGAGGTTATTAGGTGTTAGAATTAACGATGAATGATATAATAGTTGAGTGGAGTTCAGAGACAGATAAGATAAATTGTGTGATGAGTTAAGAGGTGATGAATTATAGTATAAACTAGGAACCACAGAAATAACGCAATTGTATCAAAAGTAGTAGATAAGCATGAACGAGTGTACTGCATTTAGAATTCGAAATCAAGCATTCAACATGTACAAATGAATCATCAGTTCGTTTAAACACCACATCCGTCATAACGTATATTGGAGTCTAGGTGTCTGTATTCAATTGTACGTCTTCTTCTCAAGTCCGTCCTGGGTCTGTCGGACAGTGTATTGGATAAGGACTATGTATTAGCTAGAATTTACTCATTAGCATTAGGAATAGCAACCAAAATTGAAACAGACTCA